CAAAGAATTCAGTTTACCAAGTTCATTCTTAATTAAAAGAGAAAAAAGTGATGTTGAATAAATTAAGAACATGAGCATGCTATCTATTAGTAAAGGTGCAAATCAAGTGACATGAACAAAAGAAGCAAGACTGGCAGCTAATGTAAAACAGAAATAAAATGTGCAACAAATGAGAAATAAGACAGGTCATTTTTAAAAATGAAAATGTTACTGAAGAGTTTTTCCTTCATTTGAGGATATTTACCACAGTGCATATGTGCAAGTGAACATCAGTGATCTGAAACCTAGAATGTCAAGAAATTTTGAAAAGCTTAAACATTCTAAAGGGTTTGTTATGTTGGAAAGCCCTTGACTTTCCTAAATCCTTCACTGAAATATTGAGTACTGATTTATTTCAAAATCATCACTCCATAAAACATCTCAGTATAAAATACTGTATAAAATTGCCAAAAAAGATAAGAAATATACTTTTCATAGAGAAGGATGTAACAATTTTGAGTTTTGGATAATTTCAGGCCATACATTCTTTAATATGAACTTCTGAGTACTGGTTTTCAATGCCTCACAAAGGTAGAAACTCCAGGAATTCTAATAAGAAGTTAGCAAAATGGCTGTTAAAAGTTTGAGGACTTCCAAATGAACACACAATATGAAACTCAAAAAAATTGAGTTTCAAATTCTTTCACTGTCCCCCCCCCCCCCCGACATAGTAAGCAATTTGATATAGGCCTCCATTAATTTTTAACTGCTGAAGTTGAATGTAATTAAGGCCATCTGGAGACAGCATTGTATAGGAGATAGAGCTGTGGATTTAGGTGAGATGTGTTCAAATTGCTCTTTGGATATTTATTAGGTTTTGTGACAATGGACAAATCATTTTCTCCTTTGAACCTTTTTTCTATTTGTAAAATAGGAATGCTAATACCTGTAGCTCATAGGGTTGTTGTCAGTATCAAATGGAGTGTTATGAAAAATACTTTGTAAATTTCAAAGTATTAAATAAATGTCAGTTATTTGATCATAGAATAAAGAGGAATTAATCCCAGTGTCACTGTTGCTGTTGAGTAGCAGCTGAGGTATTTGTTAGTAATAATCTACTACTTTCAACTTCTTTCTCTGATCTATTTTTCTATTCTCTCCTTTTTTCCCCCTCTTCTTTCCTTTTTTCAGGTCAGTAAGTTATCCCAGTTTTTCAGAGGTTCTCTTTTTTTGCCCAACTAAAGTCTATCCTGCTTTAATTTTGAACCTGTTAGACTTCCTGTCAAATTGAAGAACAATTGGCTAATATTTTTCTTAAAAGCTGTTATATATCTTAAGGTAATCAGTTTATTCTTCATCTTCTATGATGGTGAAACAAAACTGGTTCCTTGAAACTTGTTTCATATGTATTTTCTGTTCTTTTAATCATCTTTGTTGTTTTCTTTTGAAATGTCAACAGTTCCCCCAAATCCCTTTCAAAGTATGGTGACCAAAACTGAATATAGTAGGTCTGATTGAAAATAGAAGAAACATGGTATTGTGGTAATTGGATTTGGATGGAAAGGACTTTTTTTTTCCTGTTGCTTACTGTGTAACCTTGTTTAAGCCATTTAACTTGTGAAGTTCACCACTATCCCTACAGCCATCTAAGTTTACAGTCTTGGGCCCTTCCTTGGCTCCTCACTCTTTTACTCCTTATATCCAAATACTTGCTTTTTTTTTTTTTTTTAAACTACCACAACATCTCTTGAATCCATTCCCATGTCACTATTCATGACCACCCTGTTTTAGGCCTTCCTTACCTTTCATTGATATGATTGCAATAGCCTCCTAATTGGGATGCCTCACTCCTCAGTTTTTCCCCATTCCTTTCCATTCTCCATATAACCACCATAGTGATTTTCCTAAAGTTTCTGTATAAACTCTGGCCTGGTGGCTCCCTGTTTCCCTTAAGATCGATTATAAATTCCTCTCTTTGTCATTTGAAGCCCTTCTGGATCTGACTCTACTCATTCTGTCTTTCCAGCTTTATCACACACTACTTTCCATGCAAATTATGGTCTGCCTAAATAGATCTCAGTGTTCTTACTTGGAATATAGTAATTGCTTAATGATTGTTTCTTGATAATTAATACCTAATTAATATGCAGTGTTCTTCATAGTGATTACTAGTTGGAAAGTCATTTTAGTCATACCTCAGTTGCCTTCTTCCACAGACAAAACTACCACAAAATACTATAAGCCTGATGAGGATGGACAAGTTGGTGTTTCTGTTCATCTGAGCTAAAGAACACCTTATGCAAATGAATGTAAATAAATACTTTAACTGATGTGAGTCATTTAACTAATGTTAATCCCCTCTTGTGCCTGGTAATGAGTGTATATTGGAAAATAAAGTTACCACCTGGTCATATAAATATATATACACACACACACACACACTCACACACACATGTGTGTGTGTGTGTGTGTGTGTGTGCGTGTGTGTGTGTAATGGGCAACCAGCTGGCAAAGTGGGTAGAGTGCTGGGCCTAGAGTCAAGAAAACTCATCTTCCAGAGTTCATATCCAGCTTTGACACTTATTAGCTCTGTGACCCTGGGCAAATCTCTTAACCTTGTTTGCCTCAGTTTCCTCATCTGTAAAATGAGCTGGAGAAGGAAATGGTAAACAACTCCAGTATCTCTGCCAAGCAAACCCCAGAGGGGGTCACAGAGAGTCAGACACAACTGAACAACCACCATCTATATGATTACTTGCAGTGATCTATCTAGAGTTTTTAGGAGACTCTTCTCCTAAAGAGTGTCTTCCACCTTCTCTCTGTTCTTTACCAAATTAATTTTAATAATGCACAAATCTGATCAGGTCTCTCTGTGCTCTTCGTTGCCTCCCATTATCCATAAGATAAAGCCTTCAATAGTCTTGACATTATTCTCCTCCTTTATCCTTATTTTATACTTCCCCATCATATACTTTTATCAGAAAGGACTATTTCATTCATGTACACCTTGTGCTCCTAGAATAAATATCTATATTACCATTTATTAGAATACTTCAGAAACCTACTGGAATGCCATTGCTTCCAGTTCTTGACTTCAGCAAACATTTAAGTATCCGGTCTTTGCAAAATAATATGCTCAACACTGGGGGAGGTTTAGTAAAGACTCAGTTCTTGCCCTCATAGACTTTTCTGATTTTGAAATTGTTTCTTACCTTCTCTCAGAAACCATTTCCTTTTTAAGACTGTAATTTATATTGGTTTCTCATGCAATTTTCTGTTCATTTAATAATAAAATTTTTTCTTTGTGCTTCATATCTTCCCTTACAGACTACAAATTCCTTATAGGCAGGGAGTGTGTGTTCTTCATATTTTCTCCTTGCTTAATTTTTTGTTGGATTGAATTGAGAGCCTATTATTGTTTCATACTAGGTAGTAGTGTGTGGCATCAATATTTTAAAGAAATGGTGCCATCATTTACATTTGGCCTCAAGTACTTCTCTTCCATGTATATCTTGATCGCTTCTGCCAGTACATCTTTGGTGAGACTCCCTTCCTGGAAAGTCCTTTCCCTTTTGCATTTTTTCATCTTTTAGGTTCCACTTCTTCCATAAAGTCTACTCCAACTACTCTGACCCATCCTGGTTTCTTTTGAGTCTATATTGGTCTCATTTGATTCTATATTTTCTTGTATTTAGCAAGTGTTTTATGTATGTTCAGTTTTGTTTGTCCAGCTGGATTGTAAGTTCATTTGTCACAGAGTCCATGTCTTATAAATTGTGGGTAATAATGCCTAGCAAGATTATCATATTGCTTTGTACTGTTTTTATATCCATCCAAGGTGGATAATATATCATGTATTGTGCACTCAAATACTTGTTGATCTGAATAGATATTTGTAATTATACTTTGCTTGAGCCATTTTTAGTGTTGTATACAATGCCTAATGATGATAACAGGATCTTCTAATAAAATGTAAATGCATCTTAGGAAGAGGCTCTGTATAGTGGAAAAAATGCCAAACTTGGAGTTAGAAACATCTGGATTCATGTGTCACTTTCAAAGCTTACTAGTTCAATTTCCTACTCTGAAAAATAGAAATAAGAATACTTGTAGTCTCTGTCAGTGTTGTTGTGAGGCTCAAATGAGATGGTGTGTATACAGTGCTTTGCAAACCTCAGAGCATGGCATGTCAGGATATTATAAGCAACTAAAACAAGTAAATGTTCAACATGTTCATCACAAATTTCTTTACGTTTTTAAGCATGACACATGTCTCTTTGACCTGTGGAACCAAGGAAGATGGTATAATGTAGAGTACAAGCCACACTCAGACGTGAGCCAGAGAGCCCTGGCTTTCTAGCTGTGGGAGCAGGTCAGCTCACTTCATAGTTTCCTCATCTAGAAAATGAGAGAGTTGAATGAAAGAATCTCAGGCCCCACCTTGATATGATTACATGAGTTAGTTCAGTTTTGAATTTCTTTTTCTAGTATCTGAAAGTCCGATTAATTCCATTGGATATGCAATTCAATGCAATTCAGCCATTTAAAACTTTTTTTTTTTAAATACCAACTGGTTTATCACTCAGTGATGTAAATTCTCACTTAACTTCTTTGTATGGTTTTTTAAAATGTGTTATCAACATTTAAATGGTTTGTGTGTTTTATTTCTAACAACCTATATGCAATACAATATCTTAATAAAGAGTTTAACACCATGTTTTTGATATTTATTCTAAAGTGCAAAGTTTTTGGTTATTTCATTACTTTTCTGGGGTTTTTTTCCGTGACTTTTGGATGGAATTCCTAGACATTGTCAGATTTCTGAATTTGACATAATTACTCTTGTGGTTTAAAATTTTTTTTAGGTTTTTAATCTTTTTTCTTGTTCACCTGAAAGTTGTAAGTTAATATATACATATTTTCTTGCTGTGACATATTATTTTCAATAGTTAAATATTAGCAATTAAATAAAAGTTTAAAATGTAAAATCTTTGGATAATGTATATTATTTTTAACTTTAGGAATATGAAGCACGAATAGGGAGGACATGTAAACCTCCACTTCCGTCCACAAGACGTAAAAATTTTGAATTTGAACCACTTTCAACCACTGCTCTCATTCTTGAGGATCGACCATCGTAAGTGTTTTAATGATTGTTAATATTGTTGATACTTTTAATTTTAGAACAATTTATCTAACCTATCATATTAAAGGTATTTGATATTCCTCGGAAACTTGTTTTTGAAAAAAGTCATTCCAGAAAGATGTCTTAATAAGAAAAAACTACATTGTTGATTCAGAAGCCATAAGTAGATTCAGTTGATGCTGGCATGAGCTTTTATTTAATTTAATGCAATGATGCATTAAAATTACCATATTTCACCACATAATCGTCACCACTGCATAATCATTGAACCCTATGGTGTTTTTTTTTTCCAGTCCAAAAATTGGCTTGTAACCTTTTGTTGCGTAATCTTTGCATGGTATAATTCTGTCAGGCCTCTTAAGAGGTAAATAAAGCAGCAGTGCTTTCACCAGTGGCATATGGATACACATTTATCTGTCATGCATTGCGATCCTAGAATTCTCAGGGCACGTGCCTTGTTAGTGTTGAGTTTTATTGTATATTCACTGGTATTCTATAATGGTTGCACCCCACCTTTTTTGCAAAAAAAATTTGACATAAAATCTACGATGATTATGCAGTGAAATATGGTACTTCTCTGCAATTTATAATCTTAAAAATAGTCTAGGGCATGGAAAGGTTAAATGATTTGTCTAGAATCACAAAAGCCAGTATGTATCAGAGACAGAAGTTGAACCCAGGTTTTCTGGTTTTAAGGTTGGCTTTCTATCTTCTTTGCCAGGTTGCCTTTATTTTAGCTCTTTTTAAAAAGTAAATTTTTATTGATATTTTATGTATTTATATCACTTAAATTCTCCCACACTGCACAAGATATATCCCTCATAGGGGCAGGTAGGTGGCGCAGTGGATAGAGTACTGAGCCTGAAGTCAGGAGGACCTGAGTTCAAATGTGGCCTCAGACCAAACACTTGATGCTTAACTAGTTGTGTGACCCTGGGCAAGTCACTTAACCCCAACTGCCTAAAAACAAATCAAAACAAAACAAGAGATATCCCTTATAACAAAGAATAAAAGTGAGGAAAAAAAATTTTAGCAAATGCTAACAAACATATCAAAAAGCCTTACATTTTCTATGTGGTATTCTGCCCTTAGAGTCTCCTGCTTCAGAGATGTGGGGTGATATGTCATCTCATATCTCTTCTTTGAGGCCAAATGTGGTGATTATAATTTTAGATCATTCAGTTTATATTTTTTTTTGTTGTTCTTTACACATCTTATTATTTTGTATATTGTTTTCCTGGTTCTGCTTATTTCACTTTATGTCAATTCATATAAGTTTTCCTATGCCTTTATTCATCTCATTTATTATTTCTTATAGCATAGTAATATAGTCATTGTATCATTTTTATAATATACTAATATTCCAGCACATTGATATACATATATACATATATCTATCTAGATCTATATATATCTAATACACACACATACACACACAGCCCTTGTTTAGCTATTCCCTAGTTGATGAGCATCTATTTTATTTCTAATTATTTGCTACTACAAAAAATGCTATTATAAATATTTTGATGTCTAAGGACCCTTTCTTTTTTTTGACCTCTTTGGGATATATGCCAGGCTGTGGAAGCTCTGGGTCAGAGGGTATGGGCATTTTAGTTACTTTCTTCACATAATTCTAATTTATTTTCCCATAATGGTTGTAAATTCATAGTTCCACCAACAGCTTGTTAGTGTTCCCATCTTTCTACACCCCGTCCAATATTGACTATTCGTATCTTTTGTCATTTTTGCTGATTTGCACAGTGAAACTTCAGGGTTGTTTTACAAGTTGCATTTCTCTTATAATTTGTGATCTACGAAGGGGGAGGGTACATTAATGGGGTAAGGAGAGGTGAGTGATACAGCTCTCCTTCATTCATGGGCAAACAGTGAAGAGATGATTCCTCTAGCTTCTTCTCAAGAAGAAGGCTTCAGGAGAATTCAAGAGAGGAAGCAGAAAGGAATAATTAAGTCAAGGAGAGTTGAAAGAGGTGGTCTCAGCCCAAACAAGGGTAGATGTCCCACTGAACAACCCTCTACTCAGGAAAAAAGTGTGTAGGAGATTGGAGACCTCAGTGGGACAGGTAATGCACTGGAAGGCTACATCTGAGAGAGTGTGATGCTTCCATGGATAAAAATCCTGACCCAGGAAAAGGGTCGTATAAGTTTCTGGGGCCTTGAGTATCTAGAAGGGGAGTTGGGGTAGATATGGAATCTATGTAAAATGGCCTGGTCATTAGTAAGGAGAACAGTTAAGGGGAAGAGAAGGGGTGGAATTGCACTGCATGATTTAGGACAGAGGGGAATTGGTACCAGGCATGTTACTTCTGTGAATTGAATCACACATTTTCTGATTCTATTAGAAAGGGGTGGGGACTTACCCACAAAGAATAAAATTGCAAAATAAACTGGAAGGGAAAAGAGGGAAGAAAACAAAGCAAAGCAATTCTTAGAAAAAGGCACAATAAAAGGAAAACTAACCAACATAAGAAATCAGAGGGGAGAAGATAGAGAAATTTTGAACTACTGTACTACTACTAGTAATAGCTGGCATTTATATAGCATGTTAGGATTTGCAAAGCACTTTGAAAATATTATCCTATTTTTAGGCTACAACAACCCTGGGAGCTGGATGCTATTATTATTATTATTTTCATTTTACAAATGAAGAAACTGAAGCATACAAGTGAAGTGACTTGCCAGTGTCACAGAGTTAGTAAATATCTGAATCTGGATTTGAATTTGGGTCTTCTTGACTCCAGGTCTGGTGCTCTGTTCATTGTACCACTCACCTGCCTCTAACCACTTAACTTAGAGGAGAAAGAGAAGGGGAAAAAAAGAGGAAGAAATAGAAAACTACATTTAAAAAAGAAAATTCAGCAACTTAAGTAAAACTTCAAGCTAGGGAAAGGAAATGCTGGGAGAGCTGGGCACACTAGGAATACAACCCGTGGAAATAGAGATGCCTCAAAGTAGTTTAAGTAAAACTAATTGCAGTGGCAAAGAATTCATTTAAAAGAGGAAGAGAATAAAAACATATCTAAGAAGAATGCTAAAGAAACCAAAGGAGGAAAACCCAAACCTCCTTCTCATAATTTTAAATGCGAATTGACTAAACAATATAGTAAAATGAAAGAAAATGGTAGAATAGATGAGAAAACAAACCACACAATATGTTGTTCACAAGAAACCCATTTGAAAAGCAGGGACTGTCTCTCGCAATGGGAGGCTGGGTCAAAATTCACTATGAATCAGATAAACCCCCAAAAAACTGGAGTTTCAATCTTGCCAGATGGACATCAGAGAGCTCCCCCATATTCTCCATTTAAGGAGAATGTTTAGGGGAACCATCTCTTCATTTCCCACCCAGTTGCACTCGTCTGGACATCATCGTGCCTGCCCAACCTCTCTCCCTGCCTCCCAGCTTCCTTTTATGTGTTGTCTTCCCTTATTAGATCATGTGCTCCTTATGAGCAAGGACGGGCATTCTGGGGTTTGATGCCATAGGTCCAATGTCATTCCCCCAAATTCTGTTATCCAGAGGGCTTTAACATCTTTCTTGTGGACTCTTTACATTAGACCTCTTCCGTGACAGGGGTGAGCACCCTTGTAACTCCTTTTTTATTCCTTATCTGAAATGTCATTGAATTAAGGTTATTTCTTTTAATATGTCTTTTAAGGACTCCTCTATAATTTTGACATGCAGAGGAAATACTTAACTTGTAAAAAACCTGTTAGGGGATAGTGTTTTGTTTTACTGAATCCAGTCATTTTAAAAATCAAAGTATTATAAGCACAGTGGGATGTTATATTTTCTTTGGGAATTTGGAGTATTTTTAATGGTCCTCTAAAACAAAGACTGATATTGTTTATTTTATTTTACTTTTAAATAATATTTTTCCCCAATTACATGTTAAAACAGTTTTTAACTTTTTTTTTTTGTTTTAAAGTTTTGAGTTCCAAATTCTAAATCTCCTTCCTTCCCTTTCCCCTTCCACTTCCTGAGATGGTAGACAGTCTTATGTAGGTTATACATGTGCAATCTTGTAAAACGTTTCCATATTAGTCATTTTGTGCAAGAGTTGAACAAAAAAGGAATGAAGTAAAGAAAGTGAAAAATAGTATGCTTCAGTCTGTGTTCAGATAATATCAATTCTTTCTCTGGAGGTGGATAGTATGTTTCATCATGAGTCCTTTGGGATTGTCATGGATCATTGTATTTCTGAGAATAGCTAAGTCATTCACATTTCTTTATCCATACAGTATTGTTGTCACTGTGCACAATGTTCTCTTGTTTCTGCTTACTTCACTTTGCATCAGTCCATGTAAGAAAGACTTATATTTTTAATGCTAGTATTCTTCTGGCTTAGGTGTATGGGTACAGATCATTGAACAACATGCTTTCCAAAGAGATGAAAATGAACTTTCTCCAGATGGCATGGTTGGGGATGAGCAGGCTGTAGTGTTTCACAAACCAGGAATTTTCAAGGATGGTATAAATCAGGGCTTCTTAAATTTTTCCTTCTCACAACCCCTTTTTGCCTAAGAAATTTTTACATGACCTCTGGTATATAAGTATAAAAAATAGGTATACAAATCAAACAGTTTACTGATAATAAATCATAAAGAAATTTATTCTTTGGTATACATTATAATTTTACCATTTATTAAAGATGAAAACAAATTTGCATACTAATGATGGATGTGCTTGTTTATTTTTACATTAAAAATTAAATCTTGGCAGAATATTTGATACTGTGGGATGTAGAGCATCTTCAGTGTTTTTTGGAGTTGATTGATATTTTGATTTTGTAATTGTCAGTGCTGAGAATGCTGCTTTGCATAAATACGTAGTACAAAATGGCAGAAGTATGTTTAGAGCCATTTCAGAAATTGTTGGAAATTCTGGCCTAATCCCAATCCAAAATTCATTTAACGATTTTTTTTAGGAAACTCAAGTTTTAAACCTGTGTTGCTTGATAACTCACCAAATTTTTCTTGAATTTTTAATGGTAGATGACTGACATTTTTTATTTCAACTGAGTATTGTTTATGAACTCAACTTAGTTTTTTAGAATCAAAATTTGAAGGGAAGTATTTCTGAAGCTGTGTTTCCAGGCACTTCAGATGATCAATTATGACTCATATGATTAAATCTTTGGGAAAGTTATTTTCAATTATAAAATTATCTGTAGCTGTAAACATTTCTGAAGAAACATTTTCTATCCTAGTTCATATATTAACTTTTTTAAGTAAAACTTTCAATTTTTTCTTTTAACATAAATAAGTTACAATTCTTTCCTTGAAGCAATATGTTTAAATAATTGAGTTTTTCAAAAATATCTAACAGATAACAGTTTTCAAAGCTATGTCATTATGAAAAAAATTAACAGAATTGCATTTCTACTCAGTCAAAAATACTACTTCATCTTTCAGTTTCAATAATATCTTTAAACTTTGCCCTCTTGAGAGCCACATGATTCGACATATTTTCTTTTTCTTGTCAGTTTAGGTGTACTACAACCTGGTAGTGAAGACTGCTGCATTGTCATCAGCATTTTTACCTCTAGAACCTGCATTTAGCCACTCACTCATAACCTAAAATATTTTTGTCCTAAAACATAAATATTGATAATAATTTCTCAAATAAATACTAGCTTTTGTTTATGAAATTATATTTGTTTGTGCCTAATTTTAAAAACTGATGTTCACACTTATATACACATACAGTGGTGATAGTGGAGAAATATTATTAAAGAGCTTTTGTCTTTGCTTGCTGCAATTAAACACTTAATGTTTCTGTAAAAGAAGGAGATAGCAGTAATTTTTAAAATCAAACATTCTGACACAATACAATCCAAAGATATAATAATTTGATACTTACATGCTGAGGAATGACAGTGGGAAAATATTGAAAGTCTTTATTTTCTGTAATTAAACTATTATGTTTCTGCAAGAGCAGAAAGCTTTGTATGTACAGTAAAAACACTGCAGTTCGTAACAAAATAGTCTCAAATCTCAGCCAAAGTGTTTCTAGCAGTTCGTTGGCATTGTGTGGGGTGACGGCATGTGCAGTGCAAAGTGTGCACATTGTGTGTTAGAACCGAGGCTGCAGTGACGCCACACAGCAAGCGCTGCCAGAAACACCTCTGATTCGTTGCATGTTTGATTTTAAATTAATTTTTGGTCGTTGCATGTTCAGAAACCACTTACTGTTGCCAAATTTTTTTGTAACCCCCACATTCAGTTATGCAACCCCATATTGGGTTGCGACCCACAGTTTCAGAGACATTGGTATAAATGATGTCATCCAAGAAACAAAAGAGAAAAAAAAAAGATACGAGCCAGTCACTTGGTATAAAGGTGGGGAGAAATCCAATGGACTGCCCAGATAAGAAGAAATTGACAAGGAACTTTATGAGTCATTGATCTGTCTCGCACCCTCTGTCCTGTGAGCTTTGTGCCTGCCTTACCAGGTGACTGTTGCACGTTTCAGACAGGCTGACACAGAGACATCTTAAGCTTATTGGGGCCAAAATGGAACTCATTATTTTATATCCCAAACTTACACCCCTTCCAAACTGCTATATTTCCGTTCTCCCAAGTTTGTAACATCAGCATTATTTTCGACTCTTCACTCTTTTTTACCGTACATATTTAGTCAGTTGCCAAATCTTGCTGTTTCTGTCTCTACAACAACTCTCTACTCACCGGTAGGCCCTCAGCACCACTTGTCTGTACCACTGTGATAGATTTCTAATTGGTCTGTTATACATGTCTCTCCCCACAGCTTTAAGGACAGACCTGACTCTGTCACTCATATTCTTCCTAAATTCTTGTGTCTGACTATGAAATTTTAATTGTCCATGCTTTGTATTTTCCATATTCTTTGCCATTCTAGAAGATGTATTAAGTACATCTTCTAGGAGTTGAGGAGGTGGTTAGGCAAGAGGTATTGTAGGCCTAAGTGGGAAAGATTCTTATTAATTTATGCATTTAGTAGTGTGAAGCGAAACAGCAGGATATAATCTAGTCTTCTGGAGTAGATCGTCAGACAGGAGAGGCTTGTCAGACTTTAAGGAACGCTGAATAAAATAGGTTTAGGGGTCAGTTGGTCAGAAGGTAACTTAGGGCAAGGCAATCTTAGGACCTTAAAAAATTCCATGAATGAATAGTTTCTCTGAAGAGGCCAGGGAATCATACTTTTCTACCTAGAAGTCTTGGTTATTAGGGTTAGATCATAAATCTAGACAATAAGACTATTTTCTGGCCTGACTTGAAATTTGTCAGAGTATACCAGGTAGTTCCAGGGTGTGTTGCAGACTGGTCAAATATGACATTATACTTAACAGAGTTTTCTTTGTCAAGGAAATGGGATGGGTCAAGATGAGGTCAGGGTGAAGGGAAGGAAAGGGAAGGCATTTTTGTTTGTGTACTTTTCATGATTTTTCTTTTTCTTTTTCTTTTACATACCTACACAAAGCAGTTTGGACTGTATTGCTTTTGCCATGAAATTGTCAAATTTTCCCCTTTTCCTGGATAGACTATATAATGAAGTTGTACAGTGAGAGTGTTGACACTGGCCATTGCTACTTTTCTCTACTGCCAACTATATAAAACATTAGTGGCCTTTTCAAGCAAGTCTCTGGTTACTCTCTGATATGTATTAGAACAGTTGCACTCTGCATAAAACATAGAAGATATTGTACTCAGAGGTAATCTATGGAAAATTCAAAACTAATGTTAAAGTAACCAAAAATAGGTTTTCTTCTCTGTGTATTTAGGAATTTAAGGGAAATTTGGTTAATTATTTTATCCCATCTGGGTCTCAGTTTCTTTATCTGTAAAATAAGTTGTTGCAGCAGATAATGTTTAAGGTTGCTTTCAGTTGTACCATAATATTTGATGTGATTTTATTTTGTGATTCAGTTAAAAGGACCTGATAAAAGTCAGCTAAAGAAAGCTTCTTCATCACTCTTTTGAAATGCAATAATAATAATAGCTTATAGTTATGTAGTGCTTTATAATCAAAAGTGATTTGTGTGCACTGTCTCATTTGGTTTGCATGACATCCCTGTGTGAGATGTAGTATAAATGTTGCTGTGCCATTTTATAGATAAGAAGCTTTGGCTCACAGAAGGTAAGTCTGTGACATGAGTACAGTGGTGTGTGAATTACCTGAGACAGTCAATAATTTTGATATGATGTTAGTTTGTGACGGTAATAGTGATACATAACTTGTTTATACTGACAAGAGAGTCTCTCAGAATATCTTACTTTGGCCAGATGAAACCAGAACAAGCCATTGTCCCCACGTTTGGTCCTGTCTGGTTAAGTACTGGATTTTGTGCCATGCACTCATTTTAGTGCTCTATTTTGTTACTTTTAATTCTGTGTTTTTTAAGAATGGCTATTTTTTTCCAAGGTAAAGTATAAAAATTGTAGCTCTTAAAAGCACACTTTAATGGCTATTAGAAATACTGCCACAGCTATTGGTGTGGGGAAGTCAGGAATTTTAAGACTCATTCAACCCTGCAATGAAAGAGAGTCAGTCACACTTAAATGCAAGGGAAAATTTGTCAAAAATGAAAAACACCACCAACTGCTGACAAATTATTTATATAAAAGAGCTTAAATTATCCTCAAGTAACAAGCAAAGAGGGACCTGGAGGCTGGAGGAGTAGGGGGGAATATTATTGATTCCTTTACAATGTACTGTAAGCTTGTTGACATTGAAAGAACAGGAAGAAGGTAGTGAGTGAAAAAACAATTTCAGATCATTGCTCTGAAGAAGAATAACTTACTAAGGACAAGACAAGTGTGTAAAAAAATGACTGTAGATTGGAGAAAAAGTAATTTTGATAGCTAAGACTCATTCATTCAAAGCTCAGAAAACCATTGTCAAAAGTTAGGTGAGCTTGTATCTTCAAAAGCCTGTAAGTGTAAATACTCAAAAGTGTTTTGGGGAACTTTTTACTTCCTGTGGTCTTGGAAGTCTTATCCTCATTCATGGGAGGATGATCTTTGACAAGTATATTGGTAATGCTGAGAAGAAGAGTTGCTCCAGAATTACAGCTCTTCCCAAATGGAAATGACCTGGCACCATGCCACATGCCACAAGAGGTCCAGGCACTTATTCAAGACATGGAGATTAGACTGAGAACTCTCTTGAGTTAAACCTCATTAAAAACCTATAGGTTTTAAATCAAGGCTAGACTGGAAAAAAATAGACTCTTTGGCGAATATATGTTTAATAACCCATGCGATAAAAGGATGATTTCGTGATGAATTAAAGAATAGATATCAGAGTTTGTGACCATAGTGCCAAATTGTGTAATATAAGCGATGGTAGCAAAAAAAAACATATTACTGAAAGTTTTTTAAAGATGTAAAAAGTTGGATGTTTATTTTGATAAATTCATTTGAATTTGTTCCAGTTAATATGAACAGTACTGTAAGTGAAAGGACTCCAAATTCAGTGTTGTTTCCTAAAATAGCATAGTGCCTCTCATTGATTCAATAAATAAAAAGCTAGGCTATATGTATTATAAGTGGCACATTTGTAATGCAGATGAAATTTAGATGGTCAACTTTTGAATCAGAATAAATTGTAACATATGCAGTGTGTAAGTTGGCCTTTCCTTAATCTTTGCCTTAAAAAAGGGAAAGATTAACACATCAAAAATCGGTCTTTTAAAAAGAATTGACTGACTCTAGCATTTATTTTTCAGAAATCTTCCTGCCAAATCAGTTGAAGAAGCTTTACGTCATAGACAAGAATATGATGAAATGGTGGCTGAGGCTAAAAAACGAGGTATGAAATTATCAGAATTTGAATCAGTTTTGTATAATTGATTCATTGATTTGTTTAAAATCAGTGAATAAGAATAAGATGTCCACCAAAAAATACATTAAAATTTGATTGATACTTTATGTGAAGTGATTTTTTTATCTGAAAGCCCAATAGTTGTGCTTTTTATTTATTGTACTTTTTTTTTTTTTTTTTTGCTTTTTGGTGAGGCAATTGGGGTTAAGTGACTTGCCCAGGGTCACACAGCTAGTAAGTGTCAAGTGTTTGGTCTGAGTTATTGGTACTTTAAAATAGTTTATTAACTTTAGTTCAGCTTTAATTGAGGAAATGCTATGGTAACTATTAAAAACCTGGATGAAGAACACAGTACCTTCTTGTGATCATATCTGACTTTCAGCTATGTTAAAGATTTATCAGGGAAAATTGGGGAGCCCATAAACTTGCTGTTTCCACAAAGGTACTTGTTTACTTTATTAAAACAAGTAGTGGCTCATATTGCTGTTACTGCTATCTTTGTTTGTAAACTTTCTTGGTTTTCGTCTCTGGTGTAGTTTATCTTTTTGGTGTTTTGAAACTGAATTACTCTTAAGTGTTGAATGGTTTAGGAGGAACTTCTAGGTGGGAACGTAATTGAATCTGGAAACAGCTGAGCTGCAATGGCTTTGCTGTCCTTGACGCTTTCCAAACATATTTTCTTGTCTCCGTAATCCCAGTTGTTTGAAGTGTCACTTTTTATTGCAGCCTCTTTTTCTAAAGTGTGACACTAATAATAGTAATGTTATTTCTTATATAAACAATATTATTTACTAAATGTTAATTAATACAGGGTACTACTTTTCTTTAGATGACAACTCAGATTAATTTTTTTTTTTGGGTGAGGCAGTCAGGGTTAAGTGACTTGCCTAGGGTGGCACAGCTAGTAAATGTCAAATGTCTGAGGCCAGATTTGAACTCAGGTCCATCTGACTCCAGGGCCGGTGCTCTATCCACTGCACCATCTAGTTGCCCCTAAGTGAACAACTCACATAAATTTTAAAATTGTCAGGGGAGATGTGTTTAGGATCCATGTTGTCCTTGGAATATCTCTTAGTGGAGAGCATAACTTCCTTGCCTGTCTCATCCTTTGCAATTCATGTAAAATAAAGATGTTCACCAAAATTGCTGTGAAGGAGGTAAGGGAAGCATTATTATTATCCCTATTTTACACATATGAAAACTTAGATTCAAGATGGTTGTGACGTGTTCAAGATCTCACAGCTCTAAGTGGAACAGCTGGGACTAGATTGCTGGCTTTCTGATTCCCAGCTCAGTGTCCCTTTCAGTTTCCTATTGCTGTAGTGATACCAGAACTTAATTATCCTAGGAACACCTGCTCATGACTTTTGTGAAACTTGTGAAAGTAGGGCTTCCCCCCATATACATAATAAATTGTTTTTAATCTTAAAATAATTACTGGTTTTCAGTCAGTAAATTTGAAGTGCCTGCTATGTGCCAACTATTGTGCTAAGCAGTGAGGATACAAATATATATAAAAACAAATACAGTCCCATCCCCTAGTAGCTTATAATCTGTTGGGAAAAGACAACGTACAGAAAGGAAGCTGAAGAGGAGGGGAGGAGGAAGAAGATATCTGGTGCTGGGGCATGATGGAGAGGGCCAAAGAAGTCCAAAAGCAGCGGAGCTGGTGGAGGATGTGGAGAAGATCAATTCTGAGCCCCCTCTTTAAACAGAGAGGGGCAGAAGGGACTGATGAGATGTGAGTACCAGGCAGATTTAGTCTTGCAGGATGATGAGATTTCCCCATGATGAGTTTCCTGGGGAAGGAAAGCATGATGGAGAGGGCCAAAGAAGTCCAAAAGCAGTGAAGCTGGTGGGAAACGTGGAGAAAAACTACTTAAAATTCATTTTTCTATAGATATTTGCAATATTTGCAATATTGAATTCCTAAATGTATGCTGCTCAATAAATAACACCATTAAATTTATAGTTACTTTTTCATTTATACTATTTAAGGTAGTCATCAATGAGTAGAAGATCGTAGTAACCTTTGTTCAAGTGTCTTGTTTTAGTTAATGAAGAGAAAAAAATGAGAGTATAGTAATAATTTATTATAATTGATTTTTTTCTAGACCTGTGATTCATTCATGTATGGAAATCCTGCAGTGCAAATTTCCTTCCACCAATGGAAGATAGTTAGCTAGTTTATAAATTATAATATTAGAGATTTGCCTGGGGCACTGTGATTTTTAAGCAAATTGCCCAGGATCACACCTACTAGAGTGTCTCAAGGGCAAGATTTGAACGTAGGACTGGGCCCCTTTCTTCAAGACTAGTTGGTTATCTACTATGCTTTGCTTCCTCATTACTGTTATAATAATCTCACTTTTATCTAGTACTTTAGAGTTTACAAAGAAGTGGGCATCTGGAGACTTAAAAAAATATTGTTCTGGTGATGGATGTGTGTGTTTTAAGTATACTTTGTGTTATCGATTTTGAACTTCTTTATACATTTTGTATAATCAAAGAGAAATCTTTAAAAAAAACAACAAAAATTGGTAAGCATACCAGTTTAGTTGTATGATGGTTTTAATGTCATTGACTTGCTGAACTCTGTGTAATTCTAGTAAAAAGTTGTGTATCAGTGTGAAAGAAGGGTATCTTCTTAAGAAAGTTTACTTTTTTTTTTCTTTTTTTTTGCTTTTGCTTTTTGGTGAGGCAGTTGGGGTTAAGTGACTTGCCCAAAGTCACATATCTATTAAGTGTTGAGTGTCTGAGGTTGGATTTGAACTCAGGTCCTCCTGACTCTTGGGCCAGAGCTCTATCCATTGTGCCACCTAGCTGCCCCAGGAAGTTACATTTTTAATAGATCTTTTTTGATATCTTTTGGTTTTTTTGGCCTACATTTTCCCTGTTCATTCTTCCCAGTGAGCCAACCTTTATAATAAAGAATTAGAAAGCTATCCTATTAAAATTATCCTTGGTACTTTTGGTCCTTTGGTAAACAAATTTATAGATGTCTGTTTTTTTTAAAGTCCAGGAAAGAAGAGAACAGTATACAACATAGTTGAAAAAACGTTAGACTTAGGAATCAGGAAACTTGGGTTCTAATCCCAATTCTGCCCTCAACTAGCTTTGTGACCTTGGACTTAGTCACTTAGTATCACTGAGCTTCACTTTCTTTTAAAATGGGAAGATTGGACAAGATGTTTTCTTAGCTCCCTTCCACTGCTGGTTATGAAATACTGAATGTTATGAAAGTTAAATATTATAAAAGTATTTTTTTCTCTTTACTCCTATAATCAGAAAACTTTAAAAAACTGCAGCTTTATAGACTTAGAAGTAACTTATTACAAACGTAGAGAGTTTTAAAATGGCTTATTTAAAATGATTAAGTTCTTCAATGTTCAATGCAGAAATTAAAGAAGCACATAAAAGAAAACAAATAATGAAAGAACGGTTTAAACAAGAAGAAAATATTGCAAGTGCAATGGTGATATGGGTCAATGAGATACTACCAAATTGGGAAGGAATGTAAGTAAGCAGAATTTTCTGGAAATAATATATTTTATGCATCTTCTTTCTAGTTTTTCCTTATTTCTCATCTGTCTTTTGACTCTAGCTATGTTGTTTGAATCCAGTCATAATTCTCAAAAATAATCACTGCTTCCCTTTGAAATGCTATACTTTTGTAGGTTTTTGTCCTTTGATAACATGAAATCTAAAGACAGAATGCATTGCATTCTTCCCAAAAGTTATGGGCTTGGTAAGTCATGTAACTATTAGTTTCAGTATTAAATAACATTCTCTCTTTTTTTTTTTCTCCTTTATTTCAAGGCGTGGTACAAGAAGAGTTCGAGAGTTGTGGTGGCAAGGACTGCCCCCTAGTGTTCGTGGAAAAGTATGGAGTCTTGCTGTGGGAAATGAACTCAATATCACTCCTGGTTTGTATTACATGTTCCCACATATACCAATATATCTGATATCAGTAGTATTGTGTTTGTTCAGTTAAATTCAAAGGACATTAAGCATTTGCTATATGTTACATACTCTTCTAGGCACTGGGATGAAGCAGGATGCAGTATCTGCCCTCAGAAAATTTGTAATTTAGTTAGGAAAGGAGGTGGGTAAGAGTATAGATTTAAACATCCTATAGCACCATTCTTATTTTTTAGTTGAGGAAACTGAAATGGAAAATACCGTGCTCGAGATCATAAGTGATCGTGACAGGATATTTGAAGCCAGGTTCTCTTAACTCCAAATTCAGTGTTTTATTTATTTATTTGTTTATTTATTTAAACTGCACTGTATCCTCCAGTTAGAGTGTAAGCTCCTTGAGAGCAGGAATTGTCTTGATTTTTCTATTTAAATATGCCTAAACACTTAAGTGCTTAGGATATAGTAAGCACTTAACACTAGAAGGACTAGATTTTTAAGAATATCTCCAAGACCAAGCAAATTTTTGTGTCAGTTGCTGTGCTTGGCTCTTCTGATTTAATAAAGGCTTTTTCATTCATTCATAAAGACAATTACAATATAAGTAGAGAAGGGGTCCAAACAGTGGTATTTGAGGCTTAAGATGGCTAAGATCACATATCTTGAAAGCTGGGGTAACTTTTCAGAGATGAAAAACATCAGAAGTAGAACTTGAAAGATTTCAGCAGGTCAAGATAGTGGAGGCCATCATTTCAAACATGATGGATAGTGTACATAGGCACGGAAGAAAAGGGCAGGGAAAGATTAAGGAGGAGCTGGTCATGCATGAATAGGAAAAGTATATAATAAAGCTGGAGAGGCATACTCGAGGCCATTGAATGCCACACTGAGGAGCCCATATTCCATTTACTAAGCAGTAGGAGCGTGTTGGAGGTTTTTAGATGTGGGAGTGATATGATCAGGTTTTTGCAATAGAAAGATTTCTTTGACAGCCATGGGAAACATGAGTTAAAGAGAGGAGAATAGGAGGCAAGGACAGTAGTTAAGAAGCTGTTATAAGAGTCCATGCAAGAGATCATGAAGTCTTGGATAGTGGCAGTTGGTGGAAAGGGAAGCAAGAATGTCAGAGATTATAAAGGTAGCTCTCACAAGGATGACAATTGGTAGTGAAACTATTCTATTCATACAATGAAGGAAGGCTTCTTTGATGAGAGTACTAGTAGGGAGTGAGCAGGGTTTCACAAGTGATAACCTGCAGTAGAATTTTTGCCATCCCACAATTGACTGAAGGATGTAAGGAATGCAGTATTTCACTGTACCCTCAGTAGGCTTCTAGGCCATCACTGCTACTCTCGGTTCATTTTCTTTCTTCCTAATATTGACCCAGTAGTTAACCAGTTTAACCTCTGCTCTCAGATCCCTTACACCTTTGCCCTAATGTCCCTCATCCTTTCCCACAGTCCATCCATGGATCTGCTTCCTCCATTCCTGCTCATGTATTGATGATGTGTGTTGAAGGAAGTCTGTCTGAGTCCACTACAAGTTTGTTATTTAATTTCAGTTGGTACCTCACTGCAGTCCTTTTTCCTACTCCTTCACTCCATCTTGCCTTATTCTTTATCCTGCTCCTCACAAAGGCCATTCCAGAGCTGTTCTTTTCAAGCCTCCTACACCACGTTTCCCAACCCTTTTAGCAGAGGACCTCAACTCCTACTTTACTGAGAAAACAGAAGACATTCACCTGATGCTTCCTCTTCTCCTCTTTTTCTATCAAAATACCTAGACATCATCCCCTATGTTCTCCTCCTAATTTCTCCAGTTTCTGAAATATCCAGTCCTCTTGCCAAGACCAGATCCTCTGTGTACTCTTCATCCTCTTCCCTTTTTTATCTCCTCCAGCAAATTGCCCCCATAATCTTACTGCCAACCTCATCTTTAATCTCTCCCTTTTTACTGACTCTTTCCTTGTTGCCTGTGAATATGCTCATAGTTCCCCTGTCATGAAAAAAATTTTGTCATGTGACTTCATACTTTATCTTATCAATCACCTGATCTCTTGAAAATTACTAATTCTGAATCTGGTAATGTTTTTTCAGAGTTCATCCTTCTTAACTTCTCTGTAGTATTTGACACTATCAACTCCCTTGGGCTCCTGGGCACCCTCTGAGTTTTCATGACACTACTCCTGGTTCTCTTACTACCTGTGTGGCTTCTCCTTCATGTTCTGCTCCCCTGGATCATTATCCAAATCCTATCACCTATCTTGTGGGTATACTCGCTGTGGGTATATAACACTGTCTTGGGACGTCTTCTCTTCTTTCTCTGTATTCAGTCTCCTGGTGATCTCATCAACTCCCATAGTTGGATTATCTTCTCTACTCAGAAAGCTCCCTGGAGCTAGCATGATACCTGCCTCTCCAAATGCTCGCCAAATATGTGACCTTGAACATGTCACTTAACCTCCCTGGGTTTCAGTTTCCTCATCTGTAATAAAAATGAAGGGGGGGGGGGGGGTTAGACGGTCTCTGAGGTCCGTATTAGCTCTGAATCTGTAATCCCATGGTCCTAATTTCTCTCTTGAGTTCCAGTCCCATATCACCAACTGTCAAACTGGATCTCCTGTTGTGTCTAAACTCAGTATGTTCAAAACAGAACTCATTATCTTTCCCTTTCAAAACCCACCCCTCCTCTAAATTTCCCTATTTCTGTCAAGGGCACCATTGTCCTTCTATTCACTCAGGTTCATAACCTCTGAGTCATCTTTGACTACACATCATATCCAGTCAGTTACCAAGTTTTGACAATTCTGCTATATCTCCACAATATCTTTTGAGTATTTCTCTTTCTGTCTAACTCCAGTTTAGGTTCTTGTCACCCCTCATCTTGATTAATGAACGTCTCCTTAGTGGTCTCGTCTCAAGTTTCTCTCTTTGCTGTTCTATCCTTCACACGGTTCCCACAGTGATTGTTGTAAAGTGCAGATATCACTCCAGATATCACTCTGTCACTGTCCTCTACTGAAAATTAAAATAGCTAAGATTTACATGTCACTTCAAGATTTACAAAATAGTTTACATATCTCTTTTGATAACAAACTGATCCATAAACAACAATGGCTCCTTACTTTTTTTAGACTCAAATGTAAAATACTCCTTGTGGCATTTAAAACCCTTCATGGTTTGGCTCCAACCTGTCTTTTTAGAATTATTATACATTTTTCCCCAGAATACACTGTATGATCCAGCTAGACTGGCTGTCCGGGGGCTGCTTTGTCTCCTTGTGCCTTTGTATTGGATGCCTTACCTTGTGCTTAGAATGTTCTTATCCCTGCATCTTAGAACCCCTACTTTCCTTCAAGGCTCAGGGAAGGCACCACTTTCTATATGAAGCCATTCCTGACGAGCTCAGGCATCATCTTATGCGCATTCTTATTTATGTACGTGTTGATTCTTCCTTATAGAATCATGTGCTCCTCCCGCACATGGAATATTTTTTGTCTTTTCATCACCTAGCACAGTGCCTGGCACTTAATAGTTGCTTATATAAGAGTTGCTTAATGAAGAGGCATTTAGTAAGTTCCTCCTATGTGCCTAGCACATAGGGAATAGAAAGACGAAAACAATCGTGGTCCCTTCCCTCAGAGAACTTAAAGTGTAACCACATTGGTCAATTAATTAATTGGTTGATGATAGTTTGAGGGAGTCTTTTCAAATAGCCGAAGACTACCTAACAAACCAAAATATTAATAATAGCTAACATTTAAATAGCGCTTTAGTATTTGCCAGGTACTTTACATGTATTTGTATGTATCTTATTTGATTCTCAAAACAATCTTGTGAAGTAGGTGCTATTATTATTCACATTTTACAGATGAGAAAACAGGCTGAGAAATGTTAAAGAATTTGCCCAGGGTCATACTGCTAATATCTGAACAGTATTTAAACTCAATTATTGCTCACTTCAGGTCCAGCTCTCTATCCATTGGGCAACCCAGCTTCAGTGAATTGTTGGTAATTTCCTGTAGGTGATAGTAATGTCCACTGGGTGACCACAAGGTAGATAGAAGTCATGCATGTCAGCTGTAACCCCTTCTGCTTTGTAAGTGCTCTTTCAGCAGCAGCCAGTGCGATTGTTTCTGGGATTCCATTGCATGGGCATCTAGCACAGTTCTCTGTGTATTGTTAAGTACTTACTGAATTCTTGTTGGATGATTGAATGTGTAAGGCAGAGAGGATTGTGGAAACTAAGGGCTTCAGCAATTATATCACTGTTGAGCTAGGAAAGTTTCGATTTCTTTTTTACTCTCATAAATGTGAGGTTATTGAGCAAATATTTGAACATAAGTGTTCCATTCTTGTTATTTGGTCTTAAACTTTTTTTTTACTTGTCTGTATTTTTCTTTTGCAGAACTTTATGAAATTTTCCTCTCCAGAGCAAAGGAACGATGGAAAAGCTTCAGTGAAACAAGTACAGAGAATGATGTAGAAGGTGTGTCTTTGTCAAGTGTCAGATTTTTTTAGTTATGTTGTTAGGATGAGTTTTTGTTGTTGTCATTGATGCAATATTAATATATTTGTGTAGCACTTTTTCATTTGATCCTTTTATAACCCTGTAGGGAAAGGAAGACATTCATATCCTTGTTTCTCAGATGTAGAAACTGAGAGAGATGCCTAGCCTTGGAATTTTGGAATCATCTTTCAAAAGATAACTCATCTCTCATTGTTATCTTCCCTATCGAGTCAGTCTCTAAATTTGCAATGTCTTACTGGCCATTTCCACTTTTACTGTTCTACTGTTCTACTTCTACTCTTATCACTTCATATCTAGAATATTGTTGCAGTCTTCTAGTTGATTAGCCTCTTCTTCTTCACTTCCTCAAAAAAAAAATTAGATAAATCTTACAGTGCTACTTTCATTATATTCTTCTTCTGCTTAGGAATTCACCTACCACATCATTTCAGATGTCTTGAATAAATGCTAGTTGGAGAGCCTCAAGAATGTAGAGAATGAACTTGGGAACTTAGGCTTTGAAAAGAAGAGGTAAATGTGATGTGAAGTAGGTGATAGGGGATGGAGAAAAAAGTACAAAAAGATACTCTGAACTACATGAGCCCAAACTATGAACAACAAACAGTGTGTAGAGTGATTTTATGGAGATAGCATGAGTGCATGACTTTGTAGATTCTATCCTCTGCTCCAATCTGATATCCCTTTATAATATTATGTATTATTCAACACTCTCTGGGATAAGTTATTTAAATAGCTAGGTGTCCATACCTAACTGAATCATCTAGCCATCTTTTCCCATCTTCTCTATAAGGATATCTTGAGGCACTTCATTGAAGTCAAGATCCACTCTGGTACAGTATTTCACAGATCACGATTTTGTTCATGTTCCCAACCACAAAAAAAAAAAAAGACAGGCTACATTGGCATAAGTTGTTCTTTATGAACCTAGACTAGATACTAATGTTTACTGCTTTCTTTTCTAAGTAATCACAATCTATCTTTTTTAATAATTCATGCTAGAGTTTTGCTGGGAATCAACTGTAAATTTTTCAGTCACTAGTTTTCCAATCATTAGTTTTTAGAATATAGTCGTTCCCCCTTTTTGTAAATAGGGATCCTACTTTCAGCTTAAGTGCTTTCTTCTTATCTCCTCACTCATCTTGGGCTTTAACTTCCATTTTCTTTATGGTTGTTTTGTTTTATTGTTTCACTTTTGAAGACCATTTTCCTCGTTACGGAATACTGAAGCAAAAGAGTAGAGCAATAGTTCTGCATTCTTTTCCATTAACACTATGTCATCCTCTACCACAAGTGGTCCTAGCCCTTTCTAGTTGGTAGTCTTGATCAGGAAGGAAAAAAGAGTACTTTTAAAGCATCCTGTCTCATTTTAATTGTTTTTCTGGAAGCCTTATTTTAGATTTGATCTATTCCTCTCTTCCTTGTCCCCACTCCTTCTCTTTCTTTATAACTCTTTCGAAAATACAAGCATACTAGAGAGCATTTAGTTTAGATGCATCAATTTTTCTTCATTTTGAATGTTTTGTGATTTTTACATTCAGAGTTTTATTTTTGGAAAGCTTTTCATCCCTCTTGAGCTGTATTTTCACTTAGAGTTTCTGGGGCATGGTGTCATACCCTTTTCTGATTTAAAAAATCTGCCTTTTTCAAGTATAGAGGTGTGTGTATGTGTGTGTGTGTGTGTGTGTGTGTGTGTGTTTATATAACTTGGTTTTGTGTATATATAAATATATTTTATATATGTGTGTATATAATACATACATATATGTGGAAATATATAGATACCCAGATTTCTATATGTGTGTACAGACATATTTATATACAAGTATGTAGAAAATATTTCTTAAATTTCTTTTTTCCTATCCATTCAAACTTCTATCCTTATTTAGACTTTTATTTCTTTTCTCTTAAACTCTTATGATAGTCTCCTGATTCCCAGCCTCTAGTGTCTTATCATCTCTATTTCATCTTTGACACACCTGCCAAAATAATCTTCTCCTGGTCTGACCGTATTACTCTTAATGGGCGCAAGAAACTCTAGCGTCTCCCTAACTCTTATTATAGGAAGAAATACAACTTTTTTGTCTGATATAATACTTTTTCCAGTCTGGCTCCACACTACCTTTTCTACCTTATTTTATAGTACCTTCTTTTGCAGTTCCTATAGTCTAGCCAAATTGTATTACTGGCTGTTTCCCAGTTTTTTCTTGACCTGTCTCTTATGAACTCTGTGTTTGTGGTCATTGAATGCATTATGATGTAGGGGTTAGAGGGTTACTAGCCCATTCATACTTGATAATTTCAAATGTCTTAAAAGGATTCATTGACTATATTCGATGTATCTAGTTGTGGCATTTTTTATTTTTGTGTGACCAAAGGATTAGTGTTCATTTTCTGATGGTAGATACTCTTTACCTTTTACATCACAGTCATATCTACTTGAGTGATTCTTAGCTGGAGGCAGTTTCAGCAGGAGATAAAAGTCTGGATTTTAGGGTTATGTTGTGAGGAAAACAGCTGCTTCTCTTCTCTCATTACTGCCTAAGTGCAGTTGGGGCTCTTATGCTTTAGTAGTAATAGGTGCCTAAAAGTTATATAGCCCACTCTCATATCTGTTTCAATTTCCTATCATTCTTTTCAACCACTATACTTTTAACATACACAAAGCTACCTTTGAGCATTAAATAATGTGTGGTTTGCAAACCTTAATGTGTTATGTAAGGGCCAACTAGTCTTAATATTATTGTTGCTGTTATTTTCTCACTCTTGCCTTGAAGATCTCAGAAAAACTTAGTTTTCACATTTGCTTTCATTCACTTCTATACCCATTTTCAACAGCAATTCATATTCTCCTCCTAGAGGTCTCTACTCTTTAGGTTCTCTGTCTTTTTCCAGGTTCTCCTACTTGTCTGACTGTTCCTTGGTCTCCTTTGCTAGATCTTCATCTAGGTTACTTTCAATAATTGTAGGTTACCACCAGGGCTCTGTTCTGGGCCTTTTTCTCTGTTCCCTGTCAACTGTCTCCCTGCTGGATCTCATCAGCTTCAATGGATTTGCTTATCTCTGTATAGCTCTCTGTTTTGTATCACCATCTGTCTTTTGGATATCTTAAAGGGAACGTAAGTCTCTCAAACTCAATATATCCAGAACAGAACTCAGTATCTTTTCCCCCCAACACTCCTCGTTTCTGTCTTTCATATTACGGTCAAAGGCATCAAACTCTTCCCTGTCACACAGGCTCAGAACTTTCAGAGTCATCCTTAACTCCTCACACTCACCCAGCATAGCCAAGCCCTTGTCAAATCTTGTCTTTCTTCCCTTCTTCCCTTCCCACCTCTGCTTTATGCCCCCATTCTTTCTCACCGCTGCCAGCCTAGTGCAAGCCCTCATCATCTCATGCCTGGAATGCTGGAGTAGCTTTCTGATTGGTCTTCTTGTTGCCTCAGGTGTCTTTTTATTCCAGTCTGTCTGCTCAGCTACCAAAGTTACCTCCTTAGAGCCCAGGCCTGACCGTGTTACTCTCCTCCCTCCCTCCCCCCCACCTTGGCCCCCGCCCCCTCCCATTCAGTAAACACCCTCGGCTCCCCATCCCCTCAGGATCAGATATAAAATCCCCGATTTACCACCCAGTTAGGTGGTCCTCCTGGACTCTTCACACTCTCCCATTGTGTTCCACTCTTCCACTCCCATCCTGTTTAATCTGTTAAATTCTGTTGATTTTGCTTTTGTAACATCTCTCTTAGATATCTTCTTCTCTCCTCTGATACTGCTTCCACGCTGCTATAGGCCCTCCTCCATTCCTGTAGTATTCTCAGAGCCTTTTGGTTGGTCTCCTGCCTCAGGTTTCTATTCCAGTCCATTTTCTACTCAGCTATCAAATTGATCTTCCTAAAATGCAAGTCTGACCATGCTCACATACCCTCCCCTCTTCCCCATTTAATAAACCCCAGTGGCTCTCTGTTACCCCCAGGTTCCAATATAAAATCCTTTGTTGTTCAAAACCCTTCACAACCTGGTTTCTTCCTCTTTTTCCAGTCGTCTTACTCCTAACACATATTCTGCAATCCAGTGACACTGGCCTTACACAAAACGCTCCATTTCCCTACTCAAGGCATTTTCACTGGCTGTCCCTCACACCAAGAATTCTCTCCTTCATTGTTTCCTGCCCTGGCTTCCTTCAAGTCTCAGCTAAAACCCTACCTTCCACAAGAAGCCTCTCCTGGTCTCCCCTAATGCTAGTACTTTCCCTCTACGGTTATCTCTGAGGTATCCTGTCTAAATCTTGTTTGTGTGTAGTTGTTTGCATGTTGTTTCCTCCATTCGACTAAACTTCTTGAGAACAAATACTGTCTTTTACCTTTCTTGTACCTCTAGTGCTTTATAGACTTCCTGGCCCAAACTAAACACCTTATAAATGCTTATTAACTGACTAATTTGGCATTTAAAGCCCTTTAAACCTGGGTCCTTCCTTGCTAGTCTTCTTACTGCACTTCCCTCTGCTGTCCAGCCACATTGGCTTCATTGTTCTTCATACAACATTTTGTCTCCTGATTCTATGCCTTTATAAAGCGGCTGTCCCCTATGTCTGGAATACAGCCCCTCTTCACTTCTACCCACCTGGCTTTTCTGGCTTCCTTCAAGACTCAAATTCTACCTTCTACTAGAGACTTTTTCCATTCTACTTTACTACTAGTACCTTTCCTCTGAGAATACTTTCCTTCTGCCTGTATATATTTTTATGAATAATTTTTATGAATACCTACGTATATACATATTCTTTTTTTTTTGTAAGGCAGTTGGGGTTAAGTGACTTGCCCAGGGTCACACAGCTAGTAAGTGTCAAGTGTTTGGTCTGAGGCAAGATTTGAACTCAGATCCTCCTGACTTCAGGGCTGGTGCTCTGTCCACTGTGCCACCTAGCTGCCCCTAGATCCTGCCTAATTTAAGCATTGAGTTGATGCATTTAGGGTAGATAGTCCAGTCTTTTATTATCAATAAATGTAAAAAATATTCTGATATTTTTGAACCTAGCCATGCTCTACCTGACCCTTTCATCTGGGAGAGAACTTTAGATATTGGTTAATCAAAAAGAAGCTTTTTTTTAATACAAAAATTACTTAGAAACTCTTGTGATAATTGCAGGTAAAGTTAACTTTCGATTATCTGTATGAGATGTAACTGTAGCAGATTTTAAATACTGAGTTGTCTCTCCTCTGATACCTCCTTTACTAAGCCGCTTTTCCCTGTTGTTTTGTTATCACGTTGTTGTTCAGTTACCATAAGTAGAAGTGCTTTGTTTTGGCTTTGGTCTTGGCCATCCAGACCTGTGTTCTTATCAATGTGGGGAGCAGCGCTGGCTTGGAAACTCATTCTGCTGTTATAACAAGATCTGTTATTCAGATAATTGTAAGAAACAGTATAGAGAGAGGAGAAAAGAGGGCTCAAGACAGATCCATGCGGTGGATGCCCAAAGAAAGAAATGGATGATGATTCAGCAAAGCAGACTGAGAAGGAACTCATATATAATATAGGAGAACTGATTGATAGAGTCAGAAACTGCAGAGAAATCAGTTAAATTGAGGACTGAGAAAAAGTCACTGGATTTAGCAGTTTACATGATTGGTATTCTTGGAGAGAGCAGTTCGTTGAAGTGGCAGAGTTGGAAATCAGACTGCAAGGGATTGAGAAATGAGTGGAAAGTGAGGAAATGTGGTTGTTTTCCACTCTTTCTAGACATTTGAGAAAGGGATAAGAGATATAATAGCTTGATGAGGGATAGTGGGATCAAGTGAAGGATTAAGGATGGGAAACAGGTATATTTGGAGGAAATGTAAAGAAGGAGTCAGTACATAGGAGAGGAAAGAGAGAATGACTGAGGAGAAAGCTACCTGAAGGGAAGGGATGGCCTTGAGTAGGAAAAGGGCCACCTCTTCTTCTGATATTGGAGCAAAAGCAGAGAGAATGACTAATTATGAAAGGCATTTTGAGGTATGGAATAGGAAAGAAGAGCTTGCAGCAGATAGATTCCATTTCCTCAGTAAAACTGGAGGCATGGTCCTGCTAAGAGGGAGAAGGATAAGATGATGGAAGAGCGTCAAGGAGAGAAGAGGAGATTTAGAATAGGTACTGTGGAGAATGTGGTAGGAGATCAAATTAGGGAGATATAAAAAGATTTCTTTTCAGTACTGAAGGCCCCGTTGAAATTAGATAACAAATTTATAGTGGCCTTATTTCACAGTTGTATGATTTTCTCTAGCAGTACTCCTCAGCACAAAAGTAGGAAGAGAGAAATTGGATTAATCAATGAAGCATTTATTAAACGCCTAATATATGCCAGATGCTGGGTTTACAAAGATAAAAGTGAAAATAGTTTCTTCCTTCAAGGAGCTTGCAGTCTGTTGAGAACATTGTGTGTGTGTATTTGTGTGGAGTGTGTGTGTGTATACAGGCACAGTATATGATACAAAAACTGAAGGTTGGAGTTTGGAAAATAGTGTATAGTTGAATTGGTTAAGACTGAAGCATGGGAAATAAGAACACAACAGTAATAGAATCAGAGAATAGGAAGGGAGATAATGGGACTGGATGTCACAGTAAAGATGGAAGCTAGTTATTGTAAACACCCTTTAACTATCAGTATTTCTTCCTCTGCTTTTACTCTACCAGCTAGAAAACAAAGTATTCCTTCTCAACCCTCAAGACAGCCCTCCAAGGGAGCACGGTATGGGATAGAGCAAGTCAGTGCATTGTTCTTCAGTGATTTTCAGGAATCGCATTACCAGCTTTGTTGTTTCTCTTATAGCAACTTCTCTTTTTTATAAAAGACATAATTTGAGACTGTATTTGCTGTATGCAGTGTGACTCTAGGAACAACTTTTTCTCGGTTATAAATTCGGATAAAGAAGAAATTCTGGAGGTGGAAGGCAATTAAACTTTTTTTGTGACTAAAAAAGATCTGTTCCCTGATGTAAAAGAAAATTTGGCTTTTGAACCATTTCATGGCTAATTAGCTTCAGTTATGTTAATGTGACCAGCTTATCTTCTCTATGCCTCCTGGCATACTTTGTGTATTCTAGGCACTTAACAAACATTGATTAAACTAATATTTGTGTTCTACTTTATTATAATGTTCTCATCTCAAGATATATATATGTGTGTATACATGTATTATGTATATATCTTTATCATAAAGAATTAAAGAATTTCCAATGTAGTTCTGAACAGTAATTTCCCACTACAACATCTCCAACAAATGATGATTATTAAAACTTGACTTGAAGTACATTCTACTTTTGGACAGTTCTGTTAGACATTTTTTCTTTTTCTTTCTTTTTCTTAAAGTTGAAAGAACTCTTGCTATGTATAGTTTCCACAAATTGTTTCTAGTTATTTGTTATTGTTTCTAATTATTACTAGTTTCTAGTAATAATGACAATAATAGCTAGCATTTCTGTTGCACTTCAACATTTGCAAAGCTCTTTGCAAATATATCATTTTATCATCATAGCAACCCTGCTGTTATTTTCCCCATTTTACAAATGAAAGAAAATTGAGGCAGACAGAGGTCAAGTGACTTGCCCAGGGTCACAGAGCTAGTAAATGTCTGAGAATGGATTTGAACTCTAGTCTTCTTGAGTCCATATCTTGTGCCTGCCATCTAGCTGCTTCTAAAATTTTTGCAGGTTTCCATCAGCAGGTTTAATAAAATACTGTGGATTCTGATGTTTCTTGCAGTGTTCTGGGTAGCTTTCCATCTGAGAGGGACGTGACAGACATTCATCTTTACAGTGAAATAGCCCTAAATTTAAAATAGTAAGTGATGAGGGCAATAAATAAAAGCCAGCACTGATGAGATTTATTTGAGATGTGGAACTCCCAAGAAGAGAACTCGTTCTACCAATGCCAGTCAGCATCTCCTCTTCACTTGTAGCCTTAAAAAGTTGCTTGCAGCTTTAAAAGGTTGTCACTTTCTTAGGTCTTACAAGCTAGTATGTGTCAAAGGTGGACTTGAATCCAGGAGGGCGGTTTTCCTCACATTGAAGCTGGCTCTCTATCCACTGGCTGCTGCTACCTCTCTTATCTGGAAACAGAACGATTTCATTATTTATAGTAAATAATAATCTACTTAATTTTATGTTGTTATCATGAAAGTTCAAAGGAGATGGAAATAACAACACTGTGAAAAGAGTACTATTGACAGATATATTACTATATTGAATCCCCAGGAGTGGGGACCACCTAAGGAAGGGTTGTCTGTGGAAGGACAAACTGGAGCAGTTCAAAGCTCCCTTGATGATTAGAATGGGATTGAGCCTGTGAGTGGCCTCTGTACTTCTGTCTTGGACAAAATAGAGACACTTAGTTTTTAAAAAGGTAAAGAAAAAAAAAAGAGCATCAGATTTGGGGTCAAAAGACCTAAATTCCAATCCCTGCTTTGCTACTTAACTTCCTGTGTGACCTTGGACAAAGTCACTTAATCATTCTGGTTCTCAGCTTCATTTGTAATGTGAAAGAATTGGGCTGGATGATCTAAGGTCCAACGATAATAGTTAGGTCTCTCAAGAACTTCCTTGTTTCTTATTTAGGCATCTTTTTTAATATTAATTGCAAATAATAGACTTTCACATCTGTGTGACTAATTTATTTGGCATGAACAAATGATCTTCAGTTTAAAAAGGTAATTGGTCAAAGGCCCCATTCTCTTTCATATTAAGGAAAAGTTATGAATCTACTTTGGGGAGTATTAACTTTTGAGAATGTTTTTTTCCATTTCCTGGAAGGGAATAATTAGGCATTATGCCATGTAATTTTCTGAATGGATTAAAGACTAGAAACACTTAAAAAGTGGTAATTTCTCCAGGTTCTTGATAATTCAGCTTTAGTTCTTTTGGTTTAAGACTTGATTTTTATTACATTAAACACATCTCATGTATTCATTCCTTGTACATAAGATAAGGCAGTATGGAAGCTAAGTAATTATTTTATTCTATTTACTTGGCAGATGTAGGTGTATCTGTTGCTGACCGGGAAGCTAGTCTGGAATTAATTAAGCTGGACATATCCCGCACATTCCCTTCTCTCTACATCTTTCAGAAGGTGAGGCCTTTCACCCAGCTCATAAAAAGTACTCCTCTCTTGTAATAACCAAGAGAGCAAACTCTCTAATCATAGGCTGTAAAAAGGCTAAATTAAAAAATAAACAGCAAAAGTTTAATGAGGAAGCTTATTCCATAGAGCTGCTCAAAGTACATACCAACTAAGGCTGCTAATCAGCAAGTATTCATTAAGCACCTATCCTATGCCAAGCACTTTGTTAGGCACTAAGTATAGACTTCTTGAATAGATTTTAAATGATTTCTTATTTTTATTAAGCATTTTATTTTGTTGATATTTTTCAGTTCTCACTGGATTTTTTCTCTTTTACTGGTAGGAAAAATGTAAAGCAACTTATCTCAAAAAATTTTTTAATTATTTCTTGATCACCTGTCATGCTCAGGGCCTCAGAAGTTGATATTGAAATAACTGTCTACATTCAAGCTTTATGTAGTTGCTTTTGATTTTAAAAAGCAGAATTGTTAAATTTGATTGTTGTTGACTTTAGTCAACAAAGTAAACATAACTTTACTATGTTATCTTCGTTTTGAACATCCATTTCTCCTTTGGTTAAATAGAATAGTGATTAAAAAAAAAGTCCACATTATCGAGATTTCTAATGTTATTTAGCATTATTTAATACATTTGGAGTTCTGCTGAATTCATTGCATCTAAACAAACTAATTTGGGCATAGCGTATTTTGATCTATTAAGTCATGAAAAAAGTTAAAACAATGTTAAGTTATCTAGGTTGTGTAAATTATGAATGCATTTTGTTTAGCTACTTTTTTATTTTAATATAGAATTGTTTTGTTAATAACTGTAGAAAGTACATAATTCATTTTGAACAATATTGATAATTGAATAAATGGAAAAACTTTGAAGGAACTATATTAAAATTTGACATCTTAGGGTTTGAAGATTAAAAATATAGGATCTGAATAGTAATATGCAGTTTCAAAAAATAACTTTGTTTTTCCTCCTCCCATTAAGGGTGGTCCTTATCATGATGTCTTACATAGTATCTTAGGAGCATATACGTGTTACAGGCCCGATGTTGGTTATGTAAGTATTTTCCTTAATCCATTCTGTTGCACAATGAAACATTAACCTTTGGATGATTTGCATATATGCATATTAGATTTTGCTAATATACCCTAAGCATAACACTTGATGTAACATTCTGTACATGTGTTGGAGATGCTTCTTAGCATACCAGAATGAAAAGCATAGAATCTGTAAAAACTACTGCAGTTTTGCCAGATCAGTAGCATAAAGTGGCCCATTGGGTGCTTGCTAGAGAGTCTGTTGTGGAGTTGTGGAGTGGGCATGGGTGGAGGTGAGGTGGAGAGGGGAAAGTTATGTTTAGAAGGAATAAATCATAGTCATTTTTTATCTCCCTTGAAGACTCAGTGTAATATATTGCACAGATTTTCTTGTAATGCATATTAAATCAGTGAATATGGAATAAAGATAGGATCTGGACCTGGGAATTCATTAGTATAGGAGACTCCCTCTGTCAATACAGGTAGGAAGGAACCTTACCTGCCCCTTACTGTCTTAGAGAGTTAACTAGAGCACTGATGTTAAATGACTTGTCCATTGTCACACAGCTGGGATGTGTCAGGACAGGACTAGAACCCAGGTTTCCTAGCTCTAAGGCTGTCTCCTTATCCATTACACCAGAATTTTTTTTTTTTTTTTAGGCAGTTGGGGTTAAGTGACTTGCCCAGGGTCACACAGCTAGTAAGTGTCAAAGTTTGGTCTGAGGCGACATTTGAACTCAGGTCCCCCTGACACTTCAGGGCCGGTGCTCTATCGACTGCGCCACCTAGCTGCCCCAAAGTTTCTGCTGGGTTTTTTTTTTTGTTTTTTGTTTGTTTGTTTGTTTGTTTGTTTTTTTGTGAGGTAATTGGGGTTAAGTGACTTGCCTAGAGTCACACAGCTGGTGAATGTTATGTGTCAGAGGCCGAATTTGAACCCAGGTCCTCATGACTCCAGGGTCAGTCCTCTATCCACTGTGCCACCTAGCTGCCCCTTACACTAGAATTTTTAAACTTTTTGATCACAGGACTTCTTTATTCTCTTAAAATATTATCGAGGCTCCAAAGAGCTTTTGTTTATGTGGGTTATAGCTATTGATATTTCCTATATTAAAAAATAAAATGTCGGGAAGCTGGGGGCAGAGCCAAGAGGGTGGAGTAAAAGCAGGCACTTACTTGAGCTCTCCCCTAAACCCCTCCAAATACTTGTAAAAAATGTCTCTAAAAAAATTCTAGAGCAGCCGAACCCACAAAAAGACAGTGAAACAAATTTCCAGCCCAAGACAACCTGGATGGTCGATAGGAAAGATCTGTTGTGCTGGGTTGGGAGAGGAGCATAGTTCAGCGTGGGCTGTGCCATCAAAGACTGGGGCCCAGCAAACCCAGGGTATGCCTCAGGAGACTGAATCAAGGGGAACTGTGGCAGTTTCCAGACTCCTCAACCCACAAACACCAAAGACAATTTAGAAGGTCAGTGGGAAAAGTCTGTTGGACCTGGGTGAAAAAGGAACGCGGTCCAGCCTTAGCCTTAGCCCTATCGCAGCCCCAGGGAGGTGGCCACAGTGGCAGCAGCTATTTCCAGAGCTCTTGGTCCACAGACGGTGGGGGGACTGAGCAGCTGATCAGAGGGGGATTGCAGGGATCTCTTTGCTGGTGCTGAGGCAGGATTCTCTTGCTTTTGCCCATGCTTGGATCTGGATCCCAGTCCTGGGTGGCAGTCCTGGGGTGAGGAGGAGCACTGGCATAGCAGAGCTTGTGGCAGCAGTGGAGAGGGAACCCTTCTCTCATTTACAGGGCAGAAAAGAGTGCTTGTGGTCATTCACACACCAGAACACAGGCCAGGAGAGGAATAAACACCTTTCCTTAGAACATACCACCTTGGAAGAACTGAAAACTTACAGGTCCCTAGAAGTATCTCTGAAAACGGGTGCACAAAACCCCCGAAGCTTGGGACAGTATATTCTCTACACTAGAAGCAGACTCCTACCTTAACAAAGAGTTAAAAAGTCAGGTGACTGGCTGGGAAGATGAGCAAACAGAGGAAAAAAAGTCAGACTATAGAATCTTACTTTGGTGACAAGGAAGATCAAAACATACAACCAGAAGAAGACAATAAAATCAAAGCTCCGACATCCAAAGCTCCCAAGAAAAATATGAATTGGTTTCAGATCATAGAAGAGCTCAAAAAGGATTTTGAAAATCAAGTAAGAGAAGTAGAGGAAAAATTGGGAAGAGAAATGAAAGTGTTGCAAGAAAGTAATGAAAAACGAGTCACCAGCTTGCTAAAGGAGACCCAAAAAAATACTGAAGAAAATTACACCTTAAAAAATAACCTAACCCAAATGGCAAAAGAGGTCCAAAAAGCCAGTGAGGAGAAGAATGCCTTAAAAAGCAGAATTGGCCAAATGGAAAAGAAAGTCCAAAAGCTCACTGAAGAAAGTACTTCCTTAAAAATTAGAATGGAGGGGCAGCTAGGTGGCACAGTGGATAGAGCACTGGCCCTGGATTCAGGAGGACCTAAGTTCAAATCTGGCCTCAGACCCATAACACTTAACTAGCTGTGTGACCCTGGGCAAATCACTTAACTCCATTGCCCAACCAAAAAAAAAAAAAGGAAAAAATTAGAATGGAGCAATTGGAAGCTAGTGACTTTATGAGAAATCAAGACATTGTAAAACAAAACCAAAAGAATGAAAAAATAGAAAACAGTGTGAAATATCTCAATGGAAAAACAACTGACCTGGAAAATAGATCCAGGAGAGATAACTTAAAACGCATTGGACTGTCTGAAAGCCATGATCAAAAAAAGAGCCTAATTATCATCTTTCAAGAAATTATCAAGGAACGCTACCCTGATATTCTAGAATCAGAGGGTAAAATAGAAATTGAAAGAATTCACTGATCATCTCCTGAAAGAGATCCCAAAAGGAAAACTCTCATGAATATTATAGCCAAATTCCAGAGTTCCCGGGTCAAGGAGAAAATATTGCAAGCAGCCAGAAACAATTCAAGTATTGTGGAAACACAATCAGGAGAACATTAGATTTAGCAGCTTCTACATTAAGGGATCTGAGGGCTTGGAATATGATATTCCAGAGGTCAAAAGAGCTAGGATTGAAACCAAGACTCACCTACCCAGCAAAACTGAGTGTAATCAATGAGGATAAAAAAATTAATATTCAATGACATAGAGGAATTTAATACATTCTTGAGAAGCCAGAATTAAGTAGGAAAAACTGACTTTCAAATACAAGGCTCAAGAGAAGCATGAAAAGGTAAATAGGAAAGAGAAATCATAAGGGACTTCTTAAGTTGAGCTGCTTACATTCCCACGTGGAAAGATGATATTTGTAACAGATGAAACCTTTCTCAGTATTAGGGTAGTTTGAGGAAATACATACATACATACATACATACATACATATATATATACACACACATATATATGTATATACATATATATATACACACACACACAGACAGACAGACACAGACAAGATACAGGGTGAGTTGAATATGAAAGGATGATATCTAAAAACAGACAATTAAGGGGTGAGAGAGGAATGTAATGGTAGGAGAAAGGGAGAGGTAGAATGGGGCAAAATTATCTCACATAAAAGAGGCAAGAAAAAACTTTTACAGTGGAGAGGAAGACGGGGGAGATGAGAAGGAATGGGTGAACTTTACTCTTATTGGATTTGGCTTAAGGAGGGAATAACATACACACCCAATTGGGTATGGAAATCTATCTTACCCTATAATAAAATAGGGGGGAAGGGGATAAGAGAGGGAGAGGTGATAGTAGGGAAGGCAGATTGGGGGAGGGGGTAATCAGAAACAAATACTTTTGAGGAAGGACAGGTCAAAGGAGAGAATAAATGGGGGCTGGGACAGAATGGAGGAAAATATAGTTGGTCTTTCACAGCATAACTATCATGGAAATGTTTTGCACATATATAGCCTATGTTGAATTGCTTGGCTTCTCAACAAGGGTGGGTGAGGAGGGAGGAGGGGAGAGATTTTGGAACTCAGTTTTAGAAACGAATGTTAGAAATTGTTTTTGCATGCAACTGGGAAATAAGGTACACAAGTAAAGGGGTATAGAAATCTATCTTACCCTACAGGAAAATGGAAAGGGAAGGGAATAAGAGAAGCGGGGGTGGGGGGTGGGGTGTGGGGGTGTGTTAATAGAAGGGAGAACAGATTAGATGCAGGGGGAATCAGAATGCAGACCATCATGGGGCCAGAGGAGGGGAGGGATGAGGAGAAAATTTGGAACTCAAAATCTTGTGGAAGTAAATGTTGAAAACTAAAAATAAATAAATTGGAATAAAAAAGAAAACCACATATTAACATTGAAAAAAAAATAAAATGTAAACTTCTTTCTTTCCAGGAAAAAAAATAAAATGTCATCATTATTATGAAAATAGATTTGATCTTGTAGATGCCCTGAAGGGTCTTGGGGTTTCCCAGGGTATCACACTTTGAGAACCATTGCATTATACTATGCTGCCTTTCTTAATGCTGGCTTCACCTGCTTTCTTTAAAGGGTACCTTTAAAGTATTGTCTCTCTAATGGCCTGGATGGCAGTCTTCTGAGCCCCAAATAAGTCACTGTTATGTACTAACGCCAGGGGTGGGGAACCTGCAGCCTTTACATTTGTGGGTCCTATACACGTGTGGGTCAGTCAGTCCATACAATTTTCAACATAGTTTTCCATTTAGCAATATCATTGCAGTCATGTATTTGACAGCATATCCCTTCTAAAGTGATTGTTAGTAAGTTGAAAAAGTTCATAAATTTGGAAGGGGCTTCAGAGATTGTCCAACTTACTCAGTATACAGATGAAAAAAGTGAACCAGGCATGAAATGCTAAAAATGAAAATGACGAAAAAAGATCTTAAGTCAGTGCTTATGGTAAATTAGTGACAGAGCCAGGACTGTTACCCTGCTCAATAAACTCCAATGATTGTTACTTCTAGGATCCAATATAAACTGCTCTCTTTGGCATTTAAAGCACT